CCTATTTTTCAAAATCATCGCCAGTGGAATTTGAGCTCTAGACCTGCTGCTTGGAGAAGATAACAACTAGACCACTACACTAAATTGCCACACCTCTTGCAACTATATTTTTTTTTATAATTTAAAAATAAATATATATATATATATATTTATATTTTCCAAGCAGTTATATTACAACTTTATTACTTCAGATAATAGATAGAGCAATTTATATGAGTGAAATTATAATTAGTTATCTAATTATGGTAAATGCTATCTTATACTAAAGTGTGATTCATCTGGTTTCTAATTGGACCTATATGCAACCTATTAAGAGCAGAAGCAGCCTCCTTGCTTCTTCTAGATCTACTTCAGATTTTGAATCCACAAATTACTAACCGGGATCTACTAGCCTATAATGACTATCTCTTTCTTTTAAATTTTTCCTACCTAGAAAATACAGAAAGAGAAAAAAAATTTTGAATATAAAAGGAAATGTAAAATGGTATAAAATACTGTACATATTAATAATATAAAATAAAAAAAGAAAAAGTAAAAAAAAAAGAGGTCAAAGTTATGATCTACATATAAAAATGAAGGGTGTACTATTATAACCTGTATAAGGCTAAAAAAAATTATATAACAACTGCAACAGTTGTATATCTTTTTTGTAAAGCTTCATTTTATTATTTATTTTTCTTTTGACTATCTCTGAATAGTTTTGCTTAGCTTATACTAATCTGTATTTCAAGTCAGGTGCTGCTACTATCCGAGGACCTATATTTTAAGCCACTTGCTGCTGCTATTAGGAGTTCTATGCTTGGGGCCCATTCAAAAAGTAGTGCGTATTTAAAAACACATAGTTGTAATCTACTAGACTGTCTGAATTTGGAGTGTAAACAATATCAATCTTTGAAAGAGATAAGCCAAATCTTAACTTTTTTTCTAAAAATTTTAGAAGACTGACCAAGACATAAAAGAAAGTAAAGAAAAAACCACTTGATTAAATAAAGAAGTATAGTTTAAAAAAAATATAGTTTTTGTTGTTTTTCTATGTTCTTCTTTAAAGTATTAGTCTAATAGCTTTGTCAATAAAGTTGGGCTTTTCTCACACTCTACCAAGATTTTTTATACAAGAGCACACTTCTGCTAGTTATCTTGTATAATAATACTTTTGGCTTGCATACTAAATGTCCTTTTAGAGAAGTTCTCTAAAAAAAAAATTTGATTTTAGACAAACCACTATGTTGGTCTCAACTCTCTAATAAAAATTTTGTTTTTCTGTTTTCTGTTTAGTAGAATTTTGGTTTTAGTAATCATTGGAAAGAGTGGTCTGTTAAAAATAAATATTACTATTTTGTAATTTTTATTTTTAAATATTATTATATAAATTTTTTTTTTAAATATTTTAATATTTAATAAAATTAGATTAGATACAACTGTTTTTAAATTTTAGCAGCCAAATTTGGCTGCTAAACCTAGCAATTTAAGAGATATCAGAAATGGAGTACATAGTATATGATGTATAAAATATTTGTACAAATCTGTATTTTTAATTGAATGTTATTTGTATTATATTATTAGCTATAGCTATATTAGAAAATTTAGCTAAAATTTTTTATTAAGCAATTTATTATTACTATATATTTTCTAACACCCTTTATTAGCAAATCTATACTGCAAACCTCAGATATACTATATTTAGAGCTGTTATATTGCCTAGCTAGAGTGAGAAAAGTAGAGAATGTGGCATAGTATTATCTCTAAACTGTCTAGCAAGCAAATTTGCTTGCTAAATTAATTTTGAAAAGTTTTTTAAAATTTTTTTAAATTTTATTCAAGCCTCCTATTTCTTAAATAAAAATTAAAGATATTTGTTATATTAATAATATATTTAAATTTTATTATTTTATCTTTAATTTTGACAAAGAAATTATATATACAATTTTTTAATTTTACTATTAGAAAATTTAAAAAGTTTTTTAAAACTTTATATATTTTTAAAGAAAAATGTATACAGTCTTCTCTCTCTATAGTTACCTCCTCTATAGTCACAACCTCACTATAATCACGGTTTTGTTTTTACCAACTTTTTTTATATTATTTATACCTCTATATAGGCACAATCACCTTATAGTCACTATCATATTTTTTTGTTAACCAACCATATAACACCTATATAGAATTACCTTCTATAAAATCACACTATAAATATAACAAATCAGATATCAGATAAGCTTTATTCTATTTTGCCTCTTATTAGTATAACAGTTCAAATGCATTTTAAGATTTGCCAGATCTAGTGTTTGTACGTATGTATGCATACATGTAATAGTTTAGTTTTATAGATTTGTGTACATACGAACGTTCACTATAACTACTTTCAGTTTTATAGTTTGACTAGCCCCTTGTATACGTACAAACGTTCACATGTAGTGAACTTTTAAGATACCATAACTGATCGCAATGTTTGTTAGTGGGATCAGTAACTAATGAAATTGTTAACGTTTAGGTCTCTCCTTACATTCTTATTTGGTTATAGCATGACAAATATAACATGAAAATATATTACAAGATAACTTGAAGAGTGTATATATTGCAGATTTAGGACTTTCGATAACAGCAAATATTGAATTAGAATCTGAATCTAATAGAATTTTACTATTTATTGCTCCTAAAGTTTTGAAACAATGATTATATACTAAAGAATCTGATATTTATTCATTTGATATAATTAAAACAAATGCTTTGTTATTTGTGCATACTTTATCACAGTATTTAATATTTAGATTAGTCTTTTTTTTTATTTTTTTATTTAAGGTTGAAGCTGCATCTTTAATTTCTAGTGAAGCTTTACTTCTCTCACGATTCGATAACAGAACTACTTCTGGTATTCCAAAACAAAAAAAACATTGCACCAATAAATCAAAAAAATATATTGCACCAAATACAGTAAAATAAAAAGAATTGATGGCGAACATGACTAGGATTATCAAAAAAAAGATAATATTGAAGTTTGTTTTTTAGATTTATCTTTTTTATATTGCCATTCCTTGAGTTTTTTCTGTAACATAATTAACCTATTCTCATCGAATCCTTTTCCAACGTCGAGACCCTCTTGGTACCTTATAACTTTTTCTAATGCCTTAATAGCCTCCGTTATAGTTATTGGTAGTGATGGTGATTCTTTGTTGTCATCGTCATCATTAGTTTCATTATCACGAAATTCATCTATTTGATAATACCTTCATCTGTTAGTATGTCCTCTGTCACAGCTGTTTGGTCAATCATTTGGATATATTCTTAAAATTATTTGTTAATTCTTAAACTACTAGGTCAGTTTCGGTTGAAAGCTCTCCAAGTAGTATATCAACAACATCATTATCATCATTAGTGGTCTCTTCCTGAAGTTCATTGTCTGATTCACTTTCCATTGGATTGCTTGTTTTTGGCATAATTTTGGTAGCTTTCCAGCAGTTCCTATGGTATTTTCACTGACTTTTCCCCAAATATCAGAGATAAAATCGATTGCTTTTTTTAAGGTAAGTTTTCTATATTATATAAAACTGTTAGTATCTAATGATTTAAAATAGCATTAAAGTTTTATTTTCTTATAATTTTTTACAGATTTTTATAATGTAATTTTTTACAAATTTTATTTTTTTCTTATTGTGCCTAACCTAAGTGAAACTTCTATAAGTACACGCACTTGAGATTGTTGTACGTCAAATTAAAATATGCGTCAGATCAAAATAACTATAATGCCGCTAATACCTACCCCTATCCTAACAAGGATTTCGCCCTTTAAATTTTAATCTGATGCAAATTTTAGTTTGATACACAACATATGTATATTTTGGCTTATAGTAGTTATACTTATAAAGGTTTTACTATAAATTCTTATCTCTGATCCTTATTTTTCTTGAATTGATCTAGTAAATAATGACAATACAAGCTCTTATATCTTGATTTAAAACTTTTAATTATGCCGGCATCTATCAGTTGAAGGTGAACTGTCGTATTAGATGAAAGAAAATGTACTAAGACATTTGTTAGGTAAA